AGAGAAGGGTTTCTTCTGTCTCATAGTTTAAGGGTGCAGCCACCATGGCAAGCTTGTCAGGTAGTAGGAAGGTAGCTGCTAATTGCATACCATCCATTGTCAAGAAGCAGAGTGATGGAGGCTTGTTACGCTAAGTTCTCTTTTTTTCATTTGTGCGGTCCTGGCTCCCACCAGGTAATGGTGTTCCCACAGTGCATGGGTCTTCCCTCCTCAATATGTAATTAAGACAGTTATCCATGGGCATGCCCAGAGGCCCACCTCCCAGGCAATTATAGATTCTGTCATGTTGACAATGGCCAATAGCCATCACAGTTCCCAAAGACCAGCTTGGTTTTCTTTCTTGCATTCATCACATTCCCTAACAAAATTGGGTCTGTCTGTCTTTTTCTTGTCTGTTCCTAAGTTCATTTATTTTTCTCTTCTTCTTTTTTCTTTTTTGCTGTTGCCAGTCTCCCTCCTTCACACACACAGAGACAGGAAAGTTTCTGAAGGACCATGTAACACACCAACATTTTCCCAATGGTTGCTCCTAGCTGATTGGGAGCTTTATGATTTTTTTATTTGTTTTTATTTTTGCTATTCTTTTTAAAATAAGGAACAAGATTGCATGAACTTACAAGTCAGAAGAAGGAAGGGGCCGGGTCTGGAAAGACTCTGCAATTCTGAGTTAGCTAGGGGATAAATAGTGAGACTCAAGAAGAAGAGGAGGAGGAAGGGGAAGAGGAGGATTAGGAAGAAGAGCCAACATCACTGCCACTACGACCAGGCACATGCTTGGAACCTCAACACTGGGGAGGTTGAAGCAGAAGAATCTATGAGGTGGAGGCCAGTGTGAGCTATAGATCAGATCCCAGGCCTTCTTGGGCTACACAGTGAGATATTGTCTCAAATACGGTATGCAAATAGGCATGTAAGTTGAATAACATAAAAAATAACAACAAACAGAGAACACTCTGATTACAATCCTTCAGATATTTAGAAAGAAGAGCTGAAATTCCAGGATTGGATGCTGAAGAATTTGGGACTTGCAGGTGGGGCAGGAAGAAAATTGGACACGATATCCACCTTTGTTAGTTGGACTTCAGGGCTTTTGAATGCTCCTTTGCCCAAGAGAGAGAAGAGCAAAGAGTGGCAGATTTGAGGAAGAAGATAAAGTTTCCAGTTTTCAACAAGTTGAGTCTGAGCTGCCCAAGGGTCCTGCCTAGAGAACCGATTGGCAGGTTGTTCTGAATTTAGAGAGAAACACACCCCAAAGTCGGAAATCTGGGAGGTAAGGATTGGCGGCTACACCCTTTGCTGGGATGGAGAGAAGAGTAAGGTATAAGAGCTGAGTTGAAAATTTAGCTTTAAAAAGTCATTCTATGACTCTTCCATTGACAGGAGTAAGAAGGAAGCACTGGGGGAGATGGTGGGAACCCCAGACAGACAGGGGACCTCCAGAAGCCAGAGCAAACACATTCATAGGATGAACCCTCCCTCATGGCAGAGCATCTCATAGATGTCCTAGAGGAATGTGTGTATTGACTCGGGACATTCAGCCCGAGATGATGGGAGTCAGGGCTGAGAAGGAGAAGGGAACTCTCTGCATCAAGATTCAGCTTCTGAGTAAAGGCCTTAAGCTAGGAGGACCAGAACAGGGGAGAGGAAGAATGGGGCAGAGGCTGTCTTAACTTCATGAGGGACAATTAGTGTTTCCTTGCTTCTCTTTTCCTGGAAGAACTGGGAGTGGGAGGCAGCCCTGGAAGGAAGAGGAGATGGACTGTGGGAGGCAGCCCCAGGAAGGATGAGGAGATGGGCCTAATGAACTGTGTCCATTGTTCTCATTCCTGGGTGGATGTGGAATTCCTGCAGTGCTTTCTTCAGGGATGTTATAGAGGATGAATTCATTAGCTGCTGCCAAAAAAATGAACTGAAAGAAACAGAGCCTGGCAGGCAAGCTGGAATCGCTCCTGAAACAAGCTGCAAACTAGAAAGGCTCTAACTTGGGATATTTGGCTTCCAATGGTTTTGGAGCTGCAGATCCTACTGTCTTGGATGGCAGTGTGGGCCCTGGCATGAGACTTCCTGTGTTTTAACCCAATCTCCTATGGGATGCAATTCTTCATCCTTCTAAATCCCAGTTGCATCATCTGTAAAGGGGAATACTGGTAGAGGCTTTACCACAGATGACTGAGGATTGAGCCAATCACCTTGCACTCAGCATGATGTCTAGTGGGTATAAACATTAGCTGCTAATATCACTACCATCATTAGCATCTTCATACTTCCAGTGATAGATATTTTTGGACTCTGCCATCTTTCTAGTCCTCAGAACAAAGAAATGGCAGTAAGGTAAGGAGCAATAATTCAGCAGGGATCACCAGGGAGCTGGGTAGAAGCTCTCCACTCACTGAGCTCTATGGGAGAGAGTGTAATGGAGAGTTTTAAACACAACACATCCAGCATAGTTTTCTAAAGTGGATTTTGGAGGTTCCGTTGGAATACATACAAGAATTAAACTGAGATCTTAGAGTGAGCAATGGATACAGGATAGAAAGATGACATGGGAGTGAGGAAGAGGGAAACATTCAGAAGAGACAGTCAGAAAGTGGTGAGAGTTGCCCATGGAGGCATAGGCAGAAAATACAGTACTGTCTGGATCCAGGATATGAAGCAAGGCCCACAAAACCCAGGGGAAAGTCCAGTGTGTTGCTAAAGCAAACATACATTCTATATGATGCATTATTCTGTAAACCCTTCCCCACCCCAGAAGCCACTGTTTCTCTGAATTCTCCTTGTACTTTTTTCTGGGAACCAAATGAAAGCAAACCCAATATAACACAGCCTATCTGCCCCACTCCCTTCCAAGCACCTTTCATTGTGTCCCTGATTTAACCTTCGTGACTAATGAGGCAGGCACTGCTATCCTGAGGTGGCTGCCGGGATAACTAGGAACAGCGATGTATGCCACAGAACTTCCTGCACAGGATTGAGCAGAGGGCAAACAATGTACCCAGAGCCATTGCTATGGTGACTGTGTAATGCAGGTCCTTAACTTCATACACTGAGTCTCTTTAAATGTCTGATGACAGTGATCACGAGGCACGGCAGTGTTTGTTACAGTATCTCTGTCTGGTTATGAAATCTCTTGTCCAGGCCTACACTATTCCACTTTTCAAGTTCTTATGGTTTCTTTTTCTACAAACATGTAAGATTTAAATAGTCACTTTTATCCCCCATGTTCATTTGTACTCCTTCTTTGCCATGCTCAAGTTGCTTTCCTTTTTAGCTCCTTTCACTTTGTATTCTCTATGCTACCTAGTTCTGTCAGTTCCTATTAATCCTGGATTCTTCTTCACTCCTCTCTTCTCTCTTTTCCTCATCTCTTGTGCTTTTTCTCTTTCCCACCATCCCCCTCTCAGTTCTTAAGACAAAATCTCACCATGTAGCTCAAACTGGCCTTAGCCTCAGCTCTGACACTAGCCCTGAATGCTGGGATTACAAGTGCACTGCTATGTCCAGCTTCCAATTCTTTTCTTTATAGAATATCCTCATGTCACTGTGTCTCAGAGATTCTATAATATTTTAAAATTCTATGATAGTGGCCCAAGAAATGACTCAGTGGATAAAACTCTTGCCACCAAACCCAATGACCTGCGTTCAATCCCTGAGATCTACATGGTAGAAAGAAAGACCCTTGAAAATTGTACTTTGATCTCTACACAATATTGCACAAGTATACACACCTTATCCACCCACACAAATAAATAAATGTAATACAATCTTTGAAAAAGAATATTGTCTTAGTCAAAGTTCCATTGCTATGAAGAGACACCATGACAATGGCACCCTACAAAAGAAAACATTTAATTGGGGCTGGTTTAAAGTTCAGAGGTTTAGACCATTATCATCATGGAGCATGATGGCATTCAGGCTGACTTGGTGCTGAAAAGTAGCTGAGAGTTCTACAGTCTGATACATAGGCATCAGGGGGGAAGAAAAAGAGGAAGGGAGAGAGAGAGGGCAAGGGAGCCACTGGGTCTGGCTTGAGCTTCTGAAACCTCAAATCCCACCCCCAGTGACACACTTCCTTCAGTAAGGGCACACCTACTCCAACAAGACCACACCCCCTAGTATTTTCAAATAATGCTACTCCCTATGAACTATGGAGACCATTTTCATTCAAACTGTCTTGTTACATGTTAAAACAATTATTCATCACTACACCCGTGTCTGCCACTTCCTGAATGTTGCTGGGTGATAGGATGATGAGTGAAATCCACCTGCAGAACCTTAGCATCTGTTATGGGAAAAAGACTTAAAACAAGCCATCATTACTCTGAAATGTACTTTATGACATGAGTGTGTTAAATTGAGGACTAGCTTAGTGTGTTAAATTGAGGAAGGAATGGCAGGTCTCTTTGGAGCAGCAAGGACAACTTTCATAGTGAGAATTTAGCCCATCTTTCTGGGTACTGGACAATGATGAGTGGCTTCTTAGGACAAAACAATATGGAAGAACATTCTACCTCAGGAGAATGATGGCTGTGATCTGTAAGCTGGCTCAGAAGATAAAGATGTTTGTTATTAAATCTAATAACTTGAGTTCAACCCACAGGACTCATATGGTGGAAAGAAATAACTTGTACAAAATGTCCTCTCACAAACACTCATGCCACATGTCTAGTGTGCATTCACATACATACCCATACACACATAGACACACATACAAAATCAAACCTTAATTGAAAAGTTTTAGACGAGAATGTGAAGATACATTGATCTGACATGCCATGCCTGGTGGCAGCATGTGACCTAGGATTGAATAAAACACTCATTCGTGCCTTCTATTCAGCTTTCATGTATTTCTACCATGTTCCAGCTAGTGACAAGTGCCCTTTACATAGTAGACATTAAATACAAATCCTGACACTGGTCCTGGTAGTCAGTTTCTTAGTCAGGGAACAAGCAGACTATTAAATGGGCTCAGGTGTGACCAAATTGGTCTTTTCTTTGTCTAGACCAGGGAAGCCCTCGTCACAATTCTCAACGACCTCCGACCCCAGGATCATTTCAATATCATTGGGTTTTCCAACCGGATTAAAGTGTGGAAGGACCACTTGTTACCAGTGACTCCTGATAACATCAGGAATGGCAAGCTCTACATTTACCACCTGTCACCCACTGGAGGTAAGAGGGATTTCTTCCGGCCTTTCTACCCAGTGTTGACATGATCATAGGTTCATTTTCTGGGAAGAAACATGGCTTGGAGAGTTGAAGCTGATGCTAAAAAGGGAAGCAATAATAACACTGTTCCCAGGTTCCTATATTTCTTCAAGTTTGTAAATTCTCAGTTCCTAGACCATAAGTTATCATTGGAAAATCCATCCACAATTTGTATATGTGTGTTTCTATAAATCGATGACACCTAAGTGGGAGTGCCAGTGGAAACCAAAAGAGGGCATCAGATCTCCTCCTGGTGCTGGCATTACAGGTAGTTGTGAGCCACTTGGTGTGAGTTCTGGGAACTGAACTTGGCTCTTTCAGAAGAACAGGAAGTGATCTTAACTGTTGAGCCATCTCTCCCTAGGATGGAGATTTGAAGCCAAGTGCATGACCCAGTGTTTTGTATGTATTCTAGCAGTGGCAGAGGGAACTGCCTTGTAAAACAGCTATGGTCTTATTTGAGCTACAGCATGGTGAGAGGGCATGAATCTCAGATGCCCTGGGCTGTGCTGTGGATGTGAAGTGGAAGGAGGAGAGGGCTGGTCTCCAAGTTCCTGTGTGTAAACCTTGAGCATGGTGCCTGGTGTGTGTGTACAGAATGGTAGAACAGGGGCATGAAGGCAGCAAAGCTTTCTAAGACTGCAGAACCAGGCTCTCTGCTGCCCACTGTGCTGTGTGTGACTCCTTTCTTTAAAATAAAACACCTTACATTTATTATTGCAGGGGCAGGGGGGCAGCATGCATGTAATGTGGTGGTCCCACAGCAGTCAGAGGATGTCTTTGCAGAGTTGATTCTCTCCTTTAGCCTTATATGGGTTCCAGGAACTGAACTCAGATTGTCAGGCTTGCATGGCAAATGCCTTTACTTGATGAGTCTTTTCAGCAGCCCCCACCTGGCCCTTTCTCAAAGGCAGATACACTATCTTGTACAGTTTCCTGGCCCTTTCTCAAAGGCAGATACACTATCTTGTACAGTTCTCAATTCTGTTAATTCACTCAAGTCAGCCTTCCCCCATCTAAGGATTTTTATTTCCTTATAGTCATCATCTTCCGTCCAGTTATTGGAACTGTTTTATCATTGGGCAGGGGAAATAAAATATTAGATCTGTAGCAGGAAATTGACAAGACTGTGAAGTCCTTCCTCTTTGTAGCCCTTAAGTACTAGTATGCCTATGTATGTTCAGAGATTATCTGATAATTTAACTCATGCTAGTGGCATTGCTTACTATTGCAATGGTGTGCATAACAGAGAGACAATAGACATCTTTAGAAAATAGCTATTATTATATATTATGTTCACTTGAAACTCAAACATAAGAATTCTTATTTGTTCTCTCTCTCTCTCTCTCTCTCTCTCTCTCTCCCTCTCCCCCCCTCCTCTCCCTCCCTTCCTCCCTCCCTTCTCCCTGTCATATGTATTTCTGTATTACTGTATGAATTTATGTGTACCATATATGTGTGTAGATGCCCATTTGGCCAGAGGAGGGCAGTGTTCCCTGGAACACTTGTGAGCTGTTTAAAGGGCTGCTGAGAACTGATCTGGGTCCTCTGCAGGAGCAGTAGGAGCTCTTAACCACGAAGCTTTCTCTCATTTATTTTTTTTCTTGATACCTCTTTGCACAACCCTTTGCTGGAGAGCATCAGAGGCCTCTGCATTCTCTAGGAAATGTGCTTTCCAGGTTAGGACTTAGCTTCTGAAGCTTGATTTCTTGCATTTGAATCCAACTCCACCACCTGTTAGCCGTTTGCCTCTTTCCTCATCCATGAAATGAGAGGATGGCAATAACCTGGCTATCCTAGGGACTACTCAGTTGAATAAAAATAGAGGTAAGAGGCTTGTTCTCCTTAAGTGTCAAATGTGATCTCTATTTTTATCCAACTGAGTAGTCCCTTTTCTAGTCCCTGGGCATCCAGTGATCTCTCAGAGGGTTGGTTGTTTAGTTGTGTAGGACACTGCTTGTGGAGAGGACCCAATGCTGGTGAGCAGACAGGAGATGCCCTGCCTCAGGACAGCCTGGGTTCTGAGCCTTGATGTGCCTTTACCAAATGCATGTGACCTTGAAAGCTAAAGCTCCATTTTTGCCCTGCTCTCCTTGGCTTTAGAGTGGAGGAAGTGATTTGGTACTGTTAGTGCAGATTAAAGACAGTACAGATACTTGTTACTTTTTCATGCCCACATATACAGAGGTGAAATGAAATTGGACATGATGAAAAAGGCAAATTAGTGACTCAAAGAAATGCTAGATTCTTTTTCAGCACTTTTCTAGTCTATCTGGTCTCTGTGCACGTTAGCAAAACTTATTGATGTATTTGTCCAGAGCATAGGCTATCTACTTTTCTTTTTTCCACTTATTTTCTCTTTTGAGAAAATGTTACTCTGTAGCCCAGGATGGCCTCAAACTCTCAGCAATCCTCTTGCCTCACCTTCCTGAATGCTGAAAATACATATATGCATCACTCTGTCCAACTTCTAGTGTGTGTGTGTGTGTGTGTGTGTGTGTGTGTGTGTGTGTGTGTGTGTGTGTGTGTGTTGAGGACAGAAATCAGTGAGGGAAATAATTTGGTTCTTCTAAACATGGTACATGTTTTCCCATTCCAGACAGGGCTCTGGAGGGTGGTGGGGCAGCACAACTCTACATTTTACTAAAAACCCTGTTTGGCATGTGAAAACATTTGACATATACATTTTATCTCAAGCAAATTTATCTCAAGCCAATGAGTTAAAATGAGGGTGTTTGGTGTACAAGTTTTATCTCGATGATTAGAAAGAATTATTAAAAGAAACAGATGTTCAATGCTACAGTAAGAACAGAGTTCCCTCCTGGTCATAGGGATGTGGATGATAAGTTGATTGGAATTTTTAGCTAATCCAGAAACAATACTCTTGCAGGCACTTTCCATCTCCCCCAATCAACTGCCAATTTCTCCATCCAACAAGAAAACAGTTGTTTAGCATCTGTTCAAGAAACTATCTGACCACTTTAATCAGAGTTAACGATTAAAAGTATACTTTTAGATACTCCAGAGGTGAATGGCCAGGTCAGGGGAGGGGAGGTGTGTGTGTGTGTGTGTGTGTGTGTGTGTGTGTGTGTGTACCTTTCCAGATCCAAGAGGTTTTTTACATTGGGATCATTTCAAGTCACTTGCATATAGTTAGCAAACACTTGTCAGATTTCTAGATAGGCCATAGAGTCACCGTGGAAGTGCAGCTGCCTGCATCTAAGTGCTGCCCAGACCCTGAATGGTGAAGGCTGCTGCAGCTGTGACTGTGCATTCAGAGGTAGAAGTGAGTGCAAAGCCTTGAGATGTCCTGTGTTGATGTTCTACAGGCACCGACATCAATGGCGCTCTCCAGATGGCCATCAAATTGCTCAACAATTATGTGGCCCAGAATGACATTGAAGATCGGAGTGTGTCCCTCATTGTCTTCCTTACGGATGGGAAACCCACCTTTGGGGAGACCAATACCCTCAAGATTCTCAGCAATACCAAGGAAGCCACTGGAGGTCAGATCTGCATCTTTACCATTGGCATCGGCAATGACGTGGACTTCAAGCTGTTAGAGAAACTTTCGCTGGAGAACTGTGGTCTGACACGGCACGTTCATGAGGAGGAGAAGGCAGGAGAACAGCTTATCGGGTCTGTTGTCTGTCTTCTCATAACCAGAGGCTGGGGCAGGGGCTGGGGGTGGATGCAGTAAGAATCCAGAGCTGAGGATAACTTTGGATGGGCCTTATCCTCACATCTGCTGGAAACTAAGACAGCTCATTGCATTGAGGAATATTGCAGTGTGTTTTATTCTTATTTTTAAAAATTATTATTCTGTAGCACTGGTCTTGTGGATGCTAAGTAAATGATTCACCCACCAGTGAGCTAGCCCTTCTGTTATTCTAGTTTGAGATGTGGGTCTTGCTAAATTCCTCAGATGGTCTTGAACTTGTGACCTTCCCGTCTCAGCCCCTACAGTAGCTGGGGGTTACATGGGTATACCATCATGCCTGACTAGTAATGTGCTTTGAATCCAGTCAGATTCGAGTTTAATATGTGACTTTACATAGGCTTTTAAGACTGTCCATGTCTCAGTTTCCTCTTCTGCAAAATGAGGGTTATAGCTGATGGTAGTTAAATGGGAAAAATTAAGTAAAGTTTTGGCACAATGGGTATTGCCCATTAGCGATCAATGCAGGGTTAAAATTGACATCCTGATATTTTGAATAACTGGTGAAATGATACTATAATTTGAAGAAAAATGATCAATTAAAACTGATAAAAACTCAAAACATTTTTTGTGGGGAAACAGTGGTAGAAAAAAATCTAGAACTTAGGTCTTCTAAAGACAGAATTACCTTGTCTCAGACGCCATGTTGCTGATCATGGTGTATGATTTTGTCATTGGCTGATTAAGTACTGTCTCCAGGTTCAGCACAGTGGAACTCAGACAGCATTGTGCAAATATGGGATCTATTGCAAGGGAAAAGTCTGCTTTATCTAGATTTTTTGTAGCCACAATCAAAGAAAGTTACAAATCATAAGCTGACTGAAAGTCTTTAAGATACGCAATAAAAACAGGTGGTGGCGAAGGGACTAGTCACCATTTTTCTCCTAGGATTTCAATGAAAGAGTGAAGCGAGCACATAGATCTGCTTAGTACATCATAAAAAATTATTCAAAACCAGATCCAAAGAGAGAGAACTTACTGCCCCACATCACAGAACTGAGATTTAGTTAGGAGGTCACAAGGAAAAGCAATTACATTGAAGCCAATGAGCTACATTGCCATTCTACTGGGAATGATATCCATACCTTGCATTTTCCAAGAACTTAAAAGAACCATGCATTTTTTTTTTGTATATTCATCATGTCCTATGAACCTCACAAATTTCTAGAAGATAGGTGGATAAGGGTAGAAGTTACAATGCCGTACAGACATCTCCGGCTGTAAAGGCTTACTAAGGTTTATTTAACACTCCTTTGATAGTTGATACAGGTTAGCTTCTGCTCCATAGAGTCATTCAGGGACCCAGGTTGATTCCGCTCCATTACTCTGTGCCCCACGTAGGAGTTATCCTTATCTGCAATGTTGAAAGTAAGTCAGTGTCATTTCTGATGTCTAGTCAAACAAGAATAAAGAAACAATCATGAGCACAAGCTGTTTTACTGCAAACAAGTGTCTTGGAAGATGTTTCGTGTGCTATCAAAATGCTGCCTAAGTGTAGTGCAGGAGGCCCTGATTCTGTCTGTTCTTCCTCTGCAGGTTCTATGATGAAATCCGAACCCCGCTTCTTTCCGACATCCGCATAGATTACCCTCCTGATGTAGTAGAGCATGCCACCAAAACCCTGTTCCCCAACTACTTCAACGGTTCTGAGATCGTCATTGCCGGCAAGATGGTAGATAGGAAGTTTGATCAGTTCCACGTGGAGGTCACTGCCAGCAACAGTAAGAAATTTGTCATCCTGAAGAAAGACATCCCTGTGGAGTCCCAGAAGCTGGGGAATGATGTCACAGCCACCCCCGGGCCTGTCCCTGATGGTGGGAAGGACCCCAACCACATCGAGCGTCTTTGGAGCTACCTCACTGTGAAGGAACTGCTGAGCTCCTGGCGGCAGAGCAGCAGTGAACAAGAGAAGGAGCAGCTGAGGCAGAAGGTCCAGGCGTTAGCCTTGAACTACCACTTCCTCACCCCCTTCACCTCCATGAAGCTGAAGAAGCCAGGTCTTCGCACAGATGGGCTGGAGGACACCCGCGGCATGTCTGCAGCCACAGGACCTGAGACGGTGGTGCAGAGCGTTCGAGGAGCTGACATGCAGCCAGGTAGCTCAGCCTCAGGGGTGGCGTGTGTGTGAGTGCCAATTCCTTGTAAGGCCAAGGGAACCTCAGCAGAAGTCTGTTTTGTTTTCTCATTTGCACTTATTATAAACAATGACCTTACATGAAGTGTACGGTCACCAGATGCCCTCTCAAATAGCTATCCTCATTGTAAACTGTAGCTCACAAGAGCGATGAAAAGAATGGTAGTCAGCACATCAGGCTCAGACAGAAGGACGGTGAGTTTGAGCTTAGCCTGGGCTATGTAGTAAGAACCTGTCTCAAAAAAAATACTATATATACATTAAAAAAAAAACGAATGTGTGAAAATTTCTGATCTACACACTGGCCTTTTTAATGCCAGTTGACAGAGTCCTCAGTGACAGGAGACAAGTCTAAACTAAAGCAAAGGGCTGCATTGTTTCTACCACCAACATGTGGAAAGTGGCCTGGTTTTTAATATGTAACATTTTTATAGTTCTTGTCAAATTTCCATCTCCTAGAGAGGAGATTGAAGTTAACCAGGCCCTCTCAGAATCCCACAAATGCTGGTTAATTTATTTCTCACATTAAACTCTGACAAGCATGTGCAATGGTGGAGAGAACATTAGGTTTGGATCCGTGGACCCTCCAGAGCAGCTGTGAAGTCCAAGACACACTTATAGACCTCCCCAAGAGTACAGTTGCTTGCCTCTAAGTGGGGATAATATGTTCCATGAAGGTCCATTGCCAGGACTAACTGTTCAGCCAGTGTCCTTTGGCATAAAACGAGTGTTCTATTACTATTAGCTGTCTTTCTTTCCCCTGGGGTGTGTAGTCCCGGAAATGTATTGAAGATTTCAAGCCCTCATGTGCAAGCCTCTCCCAAACTCAGATGGAGCTTGTGCTGGCAAAGTTTGTGACTCTTCGTTGTGATTTATTCACTTAAAATGTTATTACATTTATTTATTGTGTGTGTATTTGTGCTTCTGTGGGGTGGTGGTGCACAGAACACAAGTAGAGCTCAGAGAACAATATGAAGGAGTTGCTTTTTTTCCCCTCATTCATGTGGGTCTCAGGGATTGAACTCAGGTTATCAAGCTTGGTGGCAAAGTGAGTGCCTTTACCTGCCAAGTCATCTTGCTGGCCCTATATCATGTTTAGAGACTCTTTTCCATTCTTACTTTTGGTTTTGTCTCATTGTTTGATGTAGGGTCACACTAGATAGCCCAGGCTTGCCTGGAATTTGTGATCTTTGGCTTTTTGTCTCTCATAGTTACTATAAATATACCTGAAACCCGCTGTGGGTTTCTCATCCCCACCTGCTGCTCCCTGTCTCTCCACACATTTTTAACACATAACCACTATTCTTTCTGTGTCCTTTTCAGGACCTGCTCTCAAGAAACCATACAGCCCAAGAATTAAAATCTCTAAAACATCAGGTAAGGAATTTTTTGAATTTTCTGAAGCCACTAAAAGCAGGAGCATAGGACACAGGAGGTGTCCCCATGACCTGTTTTATTCAGCAGCACGAGGCACATGAACCAGAAAGAGCAGGGGCCATTTTATAAACACCACAGAGATGACCCAGTCTGGTAGCAGTGCCTGTAGAGGGGATGGAGAGTGGAGACTCACTTTTCCCATTACTTTGTTTAGAGGACCCTGGGTTTTAGAGTGTGAAGTATGCATCCAGCATCTGCGATCTCAAAGATAAAAATGGTGTTTCAAAAATAAAGATGTCTGGCTCTATAGGCAGAATTTTTCTTTTCTGAATTTTTGCTGTTTTTGAATCCTTGGCTTGGAAGGGTAGCATAGGCTGAAGAAGTAGTAAAATTTTCCTTTTGGCAGCATCTTCTAAGAATACAATATAGCAAGATTCAGGATGGCTTTAATCTCCCAGTGTCCACGACTTCTCTTGTAAGTTCTTTTTCTTGCCTTTCTACGGATGAGCCAGACGTGCTGTTCACAAAGCCAGGGACATCCCAGTGATTAGCTGTGGGGATGCAAGCACATAGTGTCCCTTGGAGAGAATGCGCTTTCTAACGTGCATCTGTGCTGTGGAATGCAAGTAAATCTTTCCCCTGGAAGTTGCCTGTGGTGATTATTGCTGGTCCCCTCCACACACTTTTGGAACAAGCAACAGCTTCTCTTGTACAAAATTCGGGTGGGAATTATATTTTCAATGCAGTAGAAACCTCCAGACAAAGGTCGGGTCAGCTATGTCCATACACACCTGTGCCAAAGATGGAAAGAAAGTTTGTCTCCTCCAGGCTTTTTGTTTCCATCATCAAAACAGATGCCTTGTGTTCCTCCCCTCTGTAATATGATCATATGTGGGTGGGTGGGTGCACATGTGTGTATCTGTCAGAGGATAATCTCCAGCCTCATATCTCAGGTACCTTCCACCTTTTAAATAAGACAGGGTCTCCCCTTGGCTCAGAACTCCAAGTAGGGAAAGTAGCTGACATCAAGCTTACGGGGATCCACCTGTCTCACCACCACTGAGATTAAAAAGCACAGGCTACCACACCTGCTGTTTGAAGGCAGGCTTTCTAGGAATTGGAGGCGGGCCCCTAGACTTGGGAGGCAACTGTCTTTACTAATTGAGCTATCACCGGTCCTTACCTTGTATTTCTTTCTGTTGCCATTTACATGGGGCTTGAGGCACTTCACAGGGAGAGCTGCCGGATGTTTCAAAGTCTTCTGAGGGAGGGAAGGGGGGTTCAGCAGTCACAGAGAAGACATGAATTTCCTTGCAAATTCAAAAGACTAAACTCTTCCAGGCGCACGCGCGTGCGCGCGCACACTCACACACACACACACACACACACACACACACACACACACACACACACACACAATTTGCATGTCCACAAAGCAGAGAGGTATTCCCAATCACATTGTTTTATGTATAAGACAGGGAGAAGCTGAATGTCCTATGGAATAAGACTATGGGTGACTCTTGGGAGGGTCTGCTGCTTATTTTCAGCAGATTCAGAAACTGGAAGAGACAAAGAATAGGGCTGAGGCTTAAAGTCCCATTTGTGTGAGCCAAAAGGGAGACTTCCACCACCATCATCAACTGTACCACTAGGCTTTCTAGTGATGTTTATGCTCTACCTGTCACTGCCTGAACTTGAGTTCCACCGTGAGTGCCAAGTATTATAAGCAACTTACACTGTATGCTTATGAGATTGTGTAGCAGGAGTGTCCAGCCTGTCAACATTGTGGCATGATATTGTAACCTACAAAATTTACATTCTAGAACCTACAAGTGGGTTACAAAAAGGTAAACAAAATCCATAATGAGGTTGGGAGATGGCTTAGAGTGTAAGAGCACTTGCTGCACAAGTGTGAGGACCTGAGTTTGAATCCCAGCAGCTGTGTAAAAATCCAGATTGGCCACATTCATACCTGTAAGTCCAGTGCCATGGGGACAGAAACAGAAGAACTTAGGGACATTGCTAGCTGTCAGCCTAGCTCTAGATTTAATGAATAAGGCAGAATAATAGAGAGAGATACCCCATGCCTTCCTTTGGTCTCTGCACATGTACACAGACACAACACTTATGCCACAACTGAAAATACATAGTCCCACACATACAAATCTGCATACTCACTGAAAAAATTCCATAATGATTTAAGGAAGCTTAAATTTTGTGTTGTACTGATTCATACCTATCCTGAGGATGAGGGTTGGGCACACTTGGCAAAGGACTATTTTCCGTGGAACTCTTGGCATAGTCAAGAAAAGATCTTCATTCTTTTAGGATTTATTTATTCTTGTTTTATGAGTTTGAGCATTTTGCCTGCATTTTGTCTGTGTACCACTTGCATGCTGTGCCCACAGAGACCAGGAGAGGGTGTCTAATTCCTTGGAGTAGGAGTTGCGGTGGTTGTGAGCCTGCATGTGGGTGCTGGGAGCTGAGCCGGGGACCTCTGCAAAACAACTGGTGCTCTTAGCCACTGAGCCATCTCTCCAGCTGTGGGGCTTCATTCTGTGTTGAGGAAGTTCAGGGACAAAAAAAAATGATATGCATATCCACATGGGAAGTTGAACTCCACAGTAGTTGAAAATGTGTAGACCATCTCCCTTCTCTTTGCGTATCATCTTACCTCTCAATGCTTAGTTGTCTGAAGTATGATGGAGATACCATGGCATCTGAAGGCAGTGCACCCTCACTATGTGCAAACTGGGTAACTACAGGGCCATCATTACACTTCTGTATATTTTTCTCATTTAGAATTGAGAACACTCTTTTTTTCAGCCCTCTGATTATGATTAAAGAAGTGATCATCTGATAACATAAAGTAGTATTTAGTCAATAAACATTTTACTTGTCTTTTCTGTTGCTTTTGGTAGTGGATGGTGATCCCCATTTTGTTGTGGATTTCCCCTTAAGCAATCTCACTGTCTGCTTTAACATTGATGGAGAACCTGGGGACATCCTACGGTTGGTCTCTGATCACCTGGACTCTGGTAAGTTCTATCTTCTCTTGTGGTACTTGGACACAGCCCAGGGATGAGGCATTTCCTTCTCTGTGCCAAAGGTGAATGGCCAGTTATAGAAGAGAAACATCCTAGATGCTCAGCAGGCACCAGTGATGATTGGTAAAGAAACTATACAGTTTCTGGGCACACCATCAGTCCCTTACTTTATACCCTGTGTGGCCTTGGGCATGCACCATAGCAGCTGAAGCATCCATCATGTAAAATGGAGGTTGAAATACTCTGCTTGTCTCACGGACTATAACATAGTAGATTCAACTGAATCATGGATAGGAACACTAAAGTGCTGTAGAAATTTATCACGTCGTATTGTCATTATGTCTTTCCATTCAGAAGCTCTGGTGGTAGGTCACCTTAGGTCTATAGAGAGGTGAAGTAAAAGAAATTAGCACTGAAAATGCTTTATGAGTACAATGCAGGCAGCATTGCTTGGGGACAGCCATGTGGACAGCCATGCAGCCCAGCAGAGTGAGGACTGGCTTTGGCACTTACCTTCTAGTATTGTTAGGTACTGAGCAGTAAGTGTCTCGGCAAATCAGATTATAAACAACCTCCTCAGGTGGCATTTGTGATATGATTACATGAAGTTTGATCCCTGATCTCCTTTAGCAGATTGTATTCTTGCAGGCTGTCCTCACTTCATTTCAGTTGCTGGGCTAAAACACCCTGAAACAGAGTAACCTGGAGAGAAAAAGCTTATTTTAATCTCATAATTCCAGGTTATGTTCATTACTGAGAGGAAGTAAAAGAGGCAGGAACTTGAAGAAGTTAGTCATATCACATCCACAGTCAAGCACAGAAAGAAATTTCTCTACTCTTACACAGTTCAGGAACCCCTGCCTAGGGAATGTGCTGCCCACAGTAGGCTGGGCCTTCCTACATCAATCAGCTTAAGACAACATCCTGCAGACATGTCCCTGGGCTAACCCATTATAGATAATCTGTCTTTGAGAGTCTCTTCCCAGGATCTTATTACGTAGACCTTTCTAGCCTCAGTGTTAAATCTGTAGTATTTTTCTTTTAAAAGGCAGCTGGTATTGCCTTTTAAACCATATCCCTCCCTGAAGATGCTTGCTCTTAAGAGCTTGAAAAGGTTTGAATGTGTATCATCCTTCATGTTTTGAATGCTTTGTCTTCAGACAATGGCAGTGGTTGGAGGAAGCATTTGAACTTTGAATCCTGCTCAGCAACATCAAAGGATCTAAGTTACGATTATTGACATCTTGTAGACATGGTACCTATCAGAACCACACCAGCAGACACCAGAATGCCACAAGAATAAAAGTACATGAAGTTATTAATCACTTTCTATGATAGTTTGACCCAAACCTACATCTTCCTTCCTATATTCCTATATTTGAAGATGGAAGGAAACTCATTCATGGCTTCATGCATTCACTCACTCAGTCAGCAACCACTAAGTGGCCCAAGCTGTAGTTCAGACAACAGTCTTAGTAATAGATACAGAGATAAGAAATGTGGAGGGACATTCATTAGATACTATCAATGGCTTTCTGTATCAATGACAAAATGTGTGACATCAAAAACTTAAGGGAGAAGGATTTATTTTGGGTCCTGATGTCAGAGATCATAAAGTGGCATCATCAATTCTGAGCCCATGGAAAGGCAAAGAATCATAGTAGTGGACATATGGGACAGAAGGAGCTGATATCATGGCTGACAGGAAGTAGAGAGTCAGAGAAGCAGTAGGGTGGCACAGGATACTCCCCAGGATTCACCTCCCAAGTGACCTGTTCCCTCCAGCTGGCCTCTACCTCTTAATTTCCAATAGCTCTTAAAATAGAACTACCATTTGAGAGATTAGTCCTCTTTCCATGTGCCCTGGGAGAGGCAGCTCAAACCCAAACCATAACATATGCTTTTAGCTGGAGAATGGACATGGCTTTTCTAACCTCTGTTCTCTTCTTGGCCTTTGAGGTGTGACTGTGAATGGAGAGCTTATTGGAGCCCCAGCACCTCCAAATGGTCACAAGAAACAGCGCACATACTTCCGGACCATCACCATCCTCATCAACCGGCCAGAGAGATCTTACCTTGAGATCACACCAAACAGGGTCATCCTGGATGGAGGAGACAGGCTGGTCCTTCCTTGCAACCAGAGTGTGGTGGTAGGGAGTCGGGGACTTGAGGTGTCAGTGTCTGCCAATGCCAATGTCACTGTCACCATCCAGGGAACCATTGCCTTTGTCATCCTCATTCACCTCTACAAAAATCCAGCACCCTTCCAGCGAAACCACCTTGGATTCTATATTGCCAACAGCAAAGGCCTTTCCAACAATTGCCATGGCCTGTTAGGTAGGTGACTGCCCATGCTCAGTGTGTGATGCAAGGATAGAATTGGGTTTCCTAAAAGAAAGTTCATGTGGCCAATATTATGAGCTTGACAGAAAATTACAGTGGGAGTATGGTCCTTCTGTGTCCAGTTATCCTTCATCACCTTCTGGGGATGTAGTTCCAGGATCTCTCAAGAGCACTAAAACCTAAGGATGCTCAAAGTCCCTTGTCTAAAACATGCAGCATTTTCATAAAACCTATTCACATTCTTCCTTCTTTTTAAAAATAACTTCTGGATTACTTACCATACCAAAAGCACTGTTAGTGCTATGCAAGTAGTAGTTGTACTGCATTGTTTATGGAATAATGACAAGAAGGAAGTCCATATGTTCAGTATCAGTGTATGCTCCCCCATGAATTTTCAATCTACAGTTGACAAAGATGCCAGAATTTCACCTGCAGAAAGCCCAACTTCACATCATGTGAAAATTAAATTATTTTTTTGGTGTGTGTGTGTGTGTGTGTGTGTGTGTGTGTGTGTGTGTGTGTTCATGTATGTGTGGGGTACATGTACATGTGGGGGTCAGAGGACAAGTTTGGGTATTGTTCCTCAGATGCCTTCCACTTTTTTTTTTTTTATATTTTTGAGGCAACGTAGAACTATATAGTTATAGACTAGCTGGCCCATAATACTCCAGGGATTCTTCCACTCCACACCTAGCCATCTCTGGAATTACAAACCTATGCCACCATGCCCAGCTTTATAATGAGTTCCAGAGACCAAACTAAGGTCCTCACTAGTTTGAAGCCAGAACTTTGCTGACTGAGCCATCTCCCTAGTCCTGAAAATTGTACTTGTTTCATGAGTGGGTCTTATATACTAATTCTCATTAGACTTCTGAGAGCTCAAAGAGATGAGAAGCAGTCATCCACAGAGCTGGTTTCTTGCCATTCCACGAGAAGAAGGAGATCCAGGGCAGCCCAGCACTTAGCACGAGAGGTGGATGCCTTTCTTAGGAGTCATCGGTATTGCTATGAGCAGTGGGCAGGCCACTCTGGCTGGCTAGCCTTCTTCAATGTGCAATCTCACTTGGGCCCTTTGCCCCAAAATAAAGAGTGAGTCACTTTCAAGCTTGGTTTAGAAGGCAGGATTTCCTGGCACTTGAGCTTGGTGTGTTTCATTGTGTTTGGCTGCCAAGCATAACCTCTTTCTCCATGTTTCCTCGGCCTGAGCAATGCCCTCACTTGACCTGGAAAATTCTGAGGCTGAGTGACAGGGGTGAATTGAGCCGACTGTTTCCACTACTCTACCCCCAGTACATAACAAGTGAATGGTATGAGGGGAATCTGTTGCCGAGGAGAGGAGACGAAGGGCATGGCTCTATGTCCTACTTATCTGCTACCATGCTGTCCTCCCAATTTAGCCAAGATTGCCCCAACACTATTTGTTGTCTCAGCATTAGCAAATGAACAGTTTCCAGAAGGGGCAGACCACAATGAGGAGAATCTCATCTCTCTCCTCCCGACATACGTGCACGGGTTTCATCGAAGCCCGGGAAATAAATGAATGCCTCCAGGGAGGGCCTAGCCTAGGACAGTGGTCCATGAAAAACCCTCCTGCTCCTGACACCACCAACATTAGGTACCAGCTCTTGTCTGCATTCTACTTATATCAGTTTTTTTCCCCTCTTTCAGGTCAGTTCCTGAATCAGGATGCCAAACTCATAGAAGCCCCTGCAGTGTACAACAAGAATCTTAGTGGTCAGTCATTTGCTCAGACAGAAGGGATTCCTGAGGCTGTCCTTAAGGTGAAAGGACGCCGAGTTCCAGTGGTCTGGAAGCAAAGGAAGATTTATAATGGGCAAGAGCAGGTAGACTGCTGGTTTGACAGAAACAATGCCGCCAAGCTGATTGACGGGGTGTATAAGAACTACCTGGCATCCCATCCATTTGACACGGAGAACATACTGGGCCTGAGGATGTCCAGGAAAGCTGAGACTGGCAGCCTTCATGAGGAGAGTGTCTAACAGGGAATCGACTTTGGGTCTACTATGGATGCAGCTTTTCTTGTTACCTGCGCCTGCCTTGTCTCTTGCTATGAGCTGCACTGTGTAGCCTGCCCCCTGGTGGAGTGGAGGTTCAATATGTGTTAAGGTAATGAGTCAGGGCAGGAAGCTGGAGTGGAACTGCTATATTCTACTTCCCCTTCCTACCTTCCTCATCCCGTCTGTACTAGACAAAAATGGTAGCACCAAGAGGAGAGGAGATCTAATTAAGTAAAATTGTGTAGCACCTGGCTTGACCGCCTCTCAGTCTACTGTAAAGTCATCCTTTCCAAAGAAGTAAGGTTGCCATGGGATTTGTTTTCTCTGTAGCAGTGTCCGAGTTGGGGCACTCTGCTTTTGCCCTATATTCATGCTTACGAATCATTCTTTTCAGTTGCCTTCCTCAGATGGTGCTCTCAACTTCTTTTCTCAAGGTCATCTACATTGATGCCGGGCCACCAATCATGCAAACCAGTAGTCCTCACATTGAATCGCTCTAAACGACCAAGGCTTTTCTTACCAGAAGATTTTTTTCTTCTGTTGTGGAATCTTGCCTTTAAAAATTAGTTTTCATTGTAAAAAATTTGGCTAAAAATAGAAAAATCAATCTTCCAGATACTGATCTCTTCCTAATTGACTTTCCAGGTCACTTGACCTTGCTGGTGGATGCTTTCCAATTTGTTCTAATAACCTAAGTGCTTTTTAATAAACAGGAAAACTCCCTGTGGATGGCCTTTACTGGCCTGTCTTGGTGCTGGAGAGCCAGCTAGTTGAAAGATAAATCTTCTACTCAGAGCATTTCAGCTTGTGCTGTAAGTTCAACACCTTTTGTCTGTGCCTTTGGATGTCCAGGAAATGTAAATTATATGAGACTAGCACTGGCATAACAGAGAGCCCTAGCCTAGAGTAGCTGCTCAGCCTACCTGTGGGAAGAATCAACTTTCACATCCTCTGAAGGAAGTGAATATGTGCCTGGAAACATGGCTGTTGCACTGTGAACTAGCAGCAGCATTGGTTGTCTGTAGAAGACAGGGCCCATCAATAGTCCATCCATGATGGGGGAGGGGTCATGAGGCCCCACTCCTGTCTGAGGAGCTATGGGCAGCTAATTATTGACTGAGAAAGGGGTGTCATAATCCTCAGATGGCATATCTGCTGGTAAGTTGCCCTTGCTCAAGAAAATAACCCCCCATTCACAGCAAGCAACTCTAATTGAATACAATGAATCACATACATATAAGAGACAAGAAAGTAGGAGGGGACAAGGAAGTCATAAGAGAAGATCATGGGAAGAGGCAGAGTGGGATAAAAGTACATTAGGGAGATGCCTGAAATTGTGAATGAATACACTAAAAAAATAAAAAAAAATCTAAGAAGAAATTTCCACATCTCAGATGGGCACAAGATAGGAAATCAGTGTGAGTTTTAGTTGTAGTGCTTAGATAAAGCTAACCCCCTAAGGAAGAGGCTACAATCAGAGGAGACTTCAAAAGATTAACACATGTGACTTTATTGTGACTATTCTCCATCAAGTCTGTCCATCTCATCCAAGAGCAAGGAAGATGCAGGAGAGCCTGGAGCCTCCATTCTTACACTCCGTGCCTCCTTTGCTGTACTTGGGCTTCTCGGGGCTGGCGTGTGAGGGGCTTACATGGAAACAGGTGAGCGGGAAGTGATGGGAACGAACAACAGAGAAAGGAAGGGAACATGCTTGAGGGAAAACAGTATTTTGATGTGGACCTGAGTGAAAGATTCTGTGCTGTCCCTGCATAATGTTTCTTCCATCGGGCACCATGCCAAGGCGACCTCTGCAGTGAGACAGGAAGGCTGCTTGGCACTTAGAGAGAAATTGGCATCAAGAAAATTGCTGTCCTTCCTGTGGGAAGCATTTGAGCAGCACAATGACATCCACATGTTCTTCCTGTCTGACCCCCCAGCAGCCTCAAGAGCCAGCTAGGGTTGCGTGAGTTTCTTTCTCTCTGTTCCACGAACCCACCAGGCCACAGCCGGTCAGCTGTGCTATTTATCTGACTCCCTGTGTTTCCAGACTCATCTGTCCGTTCTCAGGCCAGGAGTGCAAAGATGAGCAACCCGTATGGCTGCCAGATGTTTCCATCTTTTTAGGCTTAGAGAAAGAGAGGATCTCAGCCAGGCCTAACCGATGCTGGCTCCAAGGCGTGTTCCAGGGACCTTCCTATTACATAAATCCCAGCTGGAGAGACAACTCTGGAGCTAGCAGTGGGGAGTAGGAATAGGGGGTGGGGTGGGAGGGGTGTCTCAGGGATGGGAGGGGCAGCCCACCAGCCCACTGGGTTGCATTCAGAGTGATGATATGGGTGTGTTGTTCTTGATGCTGGCTTTACCCCAACAGAAGAATATCATTAGGCAAGAGCAGTTTCTACTGCTATTGTCTAAGAGCAGAAGCCCATGGGAGATGCCAGTGAAATGCCCGTCACTTGCTCTCCTTTCTAAAAAAGAAATCAATCTAAAAGGTGACAGAGATTTTACTCAGAAGTTACTTGTTAACTTTAGACAGATATTCCAGAGCATCTCTCTCTCTCTCTCTCTCTCTCTCTCTCTCTCTCTCTCTCCAAAAAGCATTTATTATTCAATGACCTAAAATAGTTTATATGTATCTGGGCATCCCAAATCACACACCAGCAGGAAAGTTTTCATTTGACTGGATATGTGTGTTGTCATGGTAAACTCAAGTAACTTCACGGAGAGAACTGCGTTTTCAAAAGGGGAAATGGAGGTAGCTGAACCACTCTCTTCAAGTTATACATATAAGATGTAAAGTAGGGGTAGAGTTGAACCTGCAGCATTCACGTGTTAGATTTGATGTTTTTCACCACCTGACAACCATTTATTTTCCTTGCATGCTTTGTAAAAGATAAAGTGGGAGGTTACTAAATAAGCAAGTGACTGGGCTGGAGGAAAATGTTGACAATAAATGAGATAAATCAAGTTGTTGTTGCAGTAGTTAGTGTTTTCTGAGTCAGTGACCTGAAATGTTGAGCGAAGTCGTGCTCTGGCTTCTAGCGCCTCCCCCCATTAATGAAAAAAGGCACAGAAGTGGGACATTTAAAATATTCTTCTCATTACTATTTCATATGAAATGGTCTGACTATCCCCCCATCCACACATCCCATGGAGGCTGAGGTTGTTTGGCAGGATGAAGTGTTGTGTTAACCCTTGTGGGCTCAGAAGTCACCCTGAAGATGCAGGAAGCTGGGAATTGGGGACAACAGTTCGTGGTTCTTATCAGGAGTCACAGCCAATATTTACCTGGCACTCGAGAGGCAGAGGCAGGCAGATCTATGAGTTTGAGGTCAGCTTGGGCTACATAGAGAGTTCTAGGACAACAGAGGCTATGTAGAGAGGGCTATGTTGAAGTCTTGTCTCAAAAGATGAATGTGTATGTGTGCATAAGTGTGTGTGTGTGTGTACATGTGCAGTGTGTGTTCATGTGTAGTGTGTGTGTGTGTGTGTGTGTGTTACACCCTGCAATGTGTGTCCTCACAGATGGATAAGAACAGGGTTCTTTGGATAAATGAATGCTGTGGACTGAAAGCATCTTTCCAAAATCCCCACACTTAAGCATAAATCCCCACTGTGATGGTCTCTGCCAGTGGAATATTTCAGACAGGATGGAAATGATGTAAATACAGTCCTCACACATGACATTCTCAAAAAATGTTTGCTAAAAGTAAACAAGGGACTCAGGTGTTGAAGTGTTCACTTTGCAAGCACAAGAAACTAAATTCAATCACCAGAACTCAAAAGCGTCAGGCATGGGGATGCACACTCTCAGTCTAGGGAGGTTGAGGCAGGCAGATCCCTCAGGCTTGCTGGCCAGTCAGTCTAGTGGACTTGGTGAATTCCATGCTAGTGAGAGAAGTTGTTCTAAAAGACAAAGAAGATGGCATCTGTGGAATAGAAACCAAGGTTATCTTCTGCCCTTCACAGGTGCATGCCCACTAGGACACATATGTGCACCTACACATATGAACACACATGCAAAAGACTGAAGAGGCATGAAGCTGCTTCTCATTGTTATGTAAAAATATAACACAAAGCTGGCCGTGCAGAAGCCAGCAACCACACCAGACACCAGATCTGTGCATTGATCTAAATCTTCTCAGTCTCCCAACCTGCAAGTAATAAATTCTTTTTTGTTTGAACCATGCAATTTATAGTATTTTTCGTATGGCAGCCCAGACTCACTAAGACAATAAAGCATTGAAAATACAATTTTCACCTTTATTCAGGCTACCCAGAATGTACACAAGGAATGCTGTTGTTAAAATCTGAAAGACTCCTGGAAACATGAGGACATGATCCAGCTAAAATAAACAGCAATTACAATAACACAGCTAACCAAATACTTAGAGATGCAATGTTAAATATTTATTTTATCCTGTTTTAAATAAGTAGGGTACAGATTGTTCGCATCTCAAGAGGCTTTGTTTCTTAAAAGCTTGTAAGAAAATAATGTCTAAAAACAAACAGCATAGTATGTTTATTTTCTAAGGGAAAATGGAATCGGGGCTACTGAGAATAAAATTTGATAATTCTAACCTCACTGCTTGTTTGTAGAAATTTCTGCACTACAGTCCCTAACATAAGTATTCTTGTGTCAATGATGGATCATATATATGTGTTGACATATTATAATAGAGTTGAAAATTCTATTGCCTGGTATTACTATATTTTAATGTCTAGATGTGTTCAGTTGCACAGATATTTACCATTGTGTTATAGTTGCTTAAAGGACTCATAGTGACAGCTATTCATGTTTGTATTCCAGAAGCAATAAGATATGCCATGCAGCATTGGTGAATAATAAACATTGCCATCTAGGTTTGGGTGTGTATATTATATGATGCTAAAAGTACAAGAGGGGCACCTTGCAACACATTTCTCAGAATGCATCTCATCATCAAGTTTCTTGCAATTATATATATGCAATGCATCAGCAGAGTGGAGACATTGGGAGAATGATGTAGAGAGCAGAAAATTTACAGACGCTATCCCTGTGATCTTTTATTTTATTTTTATTCCTGTGCACATATGTCTCTGTGTGTATGCACAAATGTATACCATTGCAGATGCCAACAGAGGCCAGAAGAGAGTATTGGATCCTGTGGAGCTGGGGTCCAGAAAGTTGTGATTAGACCAATGTGGGTGTTGGGGACTGAACTTGCGTCCTCTGGATGAGCAGCAAGTTCCCTTAACTGCTGAGTCTCTTCTCCAATACTCTCTGTATTCATATGAATCTGTCAAATACACATGAAGGACCAGCTCTTCAGACATGCTGACTTTCATCACCTTCTTGTTGGGTCAGTCAATTGCATACACTTTACCCATCATTGTGCTTGGTGCTTTTTCCAAGCAAGTAATTTCATTCCACTGTTGTGGGTTGAATAGGAAAGTCCCCGTTGCCGAGGCAAGGGTAATGATTTACGGGACCAGGCTCAAATATAGGTTAAATATAATTTATTTCGGGGAGAAGTCGCTTACAGAAGAAGCAGATGGCCACTGCAGGTTCCCGCTCTAAGGATCCGCACAGGCTGCTCCCTGTGACCAGACCGGAAGGGATGCAAGAGAGAGCCATCTGCCTCTGTCCTGCACTGACTCATGTGTTTGAACACTTGATCTCCAGATGGTGTCGCTGTTTGAGACAGTTATAGACTCTTCAGGATCTGGAGGCTGCTGCAGTAGGTATGTCCCTGGAGGCAGGCTTGGAGGTTTTAGAGCTCAGCACCTCTTGCTGTTTCTGCCTCCTGAATTAGACTGGGTGTGATCAGGCAGCTTCTCTTCCTACCGCCATGCTTTCCTTGCCTGCTGTCGTGCCCTACACAGCATCATGGTTTCTATCCCTGGGGAACTGCAAGCCAAAATCCTCAGGCACTTCTAGCTTCTGGCTCTGGCACCTTTGCCTCCTGTCCTAAGTGTTCCAGCCCCACCTGGTTTAGATCTCATTAAATTACGTTAAATTCTAAATAAAGCAAAGCTTGGTTAGGATGAAAGTCAACGCAGAACACAAGAGTGAAATCACTCACCAGCTGTGTCAAGGATCAAAAAACAACTGACTGACATCAAGTCGCTAGGCTTCAACTTCTACAGCTATAAAATGAAGAACTGGGTTAGATAAGCTCAGAGATGGTCTGATCTTTATCTTTAAAAAAGACTGCGTGTGTGTGTGTGTGTGTGTGTGTGTGTGTGTGTGTGTGTGTTGAACTGTTGCATGTGTACCACGGTGTCTTAGTTTGTCTTTTTCTACTATTGTGATAAACAGCATGACCTAAAACAACTTGAAGAAAGGTTTCGTTTCATCTTACGGGTGACAGTAAATCATGAAAGGAAGGCAGGGCAGGAACCAAGAGGCAGGAACAGAAGTTGAGGCCACGGACAAAGCTTGCCATAACTAATTGCTCACCGTGATTTTTATTACAACCCAGGACCACCTGCCTATTGGTGGTACCGCCCACAGTGGGCTGGGCCCTCCCACCTCATCTTGAGTCAAGAAAATCCCTCCCAAAACTTGCTTACAGACCAATTTGATGGAGGCAATTTTTAAATTGAGGATCCCTCTTCCTGAGTGACTCTACTTTGTGTCAAGCTGCCAAATGAACGAACAAAAACCTACCCCAAACTCATGGTGTGTCCAGGGAGGTCAGAGGGATGCTTTATAGAGTCGATTCCTTCCTTCCACTTTGTTTCTGACACAAGATCTCTGCTCATTTCTGGCTTCATACTCCAGGCTAGCCGGCTGTAGAGTTTCAGGCATATTATCCTGTTTCCACTTCCTATCTCACAGCCGGAGTGCTGGAATTACAGATGTGGGCCACTGCAATTGGCTTTCTCACCTGTGTTCTGGGGATCAAACCTCATCCCAGTTGTCTCCCTGGCCCTGCTCTTTGTCTTTTGCTTTTGGTTTCATTCCCCTAAATCTTTCTCCTCTCAGTGCTGAAGGTTGAACTCAGGGTGCTGCGTGTGCTAGGCAAGCACTCTAAGCTGATGCCATTTTTGCCTTCAGATGAGTCTTCCTGGGCTGCTCAGTGGTGAGCAGTAGCGTCTCATTCGGTGGTCCTAATATGTTAGAGTTCCATTATGCCAGGCCCGGGGAACCACCAGAGAACCACGCTCCCACCTCACCATAGCTTCCAGCTTAGACAACAGGACATACAAACACAGAGTGCAGAGGCTGAAGGACAATGTGGGTGATGATAGATGACAACTTTGCTGAAGGCTGTTGCGTGAGCACAGAGGAGGGCCAGCTAGGATAGGCCCAGAGGTTCAGGAAATGGAGAATCAATTAGCAAGGAGAGTGGCCTGTACTGACTGTGCTTTCCAGGATGTTAGACAATGCACAGCACCGCCCACATGAAACAATCTCCTTACTCCAGTTTAAAGTGTAACTATTTGGTGGTTTCAGTGAAGCCACAATAGCGAACACTTAATGGAATCAGAGCTTGGTTCCCCTCCCCTGTGCATCACAATCCATGTCAACATCACACCTCTCCTGTTCCTGGGATTCAAAGAATACCAAGGAGTCACAGAACTCCACGATAGGTTTATTCTGACAACATGGCTCCTGCTAACACTAGGGAAACCTGCAACTATCCAATTCCCTTTAACGCATCAGTCTGAACTGCTCCTGTTTCTCACTAGCTGTAGGGTTGTAGCTGTCCACAGCAACCCTGCCTTGGCTTTGCAGAAGACACTGAAGAAGGCGTTCCCCTGTTTGCATCATCCTGTCTTCACTTGGCCCCGATGCTCCTCCATCCAAGTGTGGCTGTCCACCTTCTTTCGGTTGTCCTTATTGCTTTAAGGGGTTGTCTCAGTTCCTCCCTCTAGACCCTTGCTCCAGGCACTGTCCCCTTGATTTCAAACACAGATGGATCATCTCTCATCCGACTAGAAGTCTCAGATTTCAGAGTTTTCAGATTCTAAAGCATTTGCTGGATCTCATATTAGGGCTCCAAAGTTTTAGGTTTTCCAGTCAAGGATTTGCACACCTACCATGACAGTTTTGTTCTGACTTGAAACTCTTATTCTGGTCACTTCTGTCTGTCTCTTTACTTCTGTATCACAATTTGTCCTGGGGCGGCTCCATTTAAATCCTACTCTTTTCCCACCTCCTAGTCCATTGTTTACACCCCAGTTTTAAGCTTCTGTCTTCTTTATGTTCATGGAAGCAAATCTCTGATGTCACAATTCATTCCTTCCCTGTGTCCAACTCCCACTATGGGTGTCACTAGCCCCATTAGCAGTATTTGGGATTCCTTCTTTCCCGTGGTTCTGGGTCTCTCACTTTATACTGCTATTTCTTATATCTTTTCTAGTCTTCTTTGATGAAATTCTTTCTTCTTACTGGCTGCTTTTGCCCTGGGGCTGCTCCTCGGCCCCTACCCTCTCCCCTTAGAGCTCTGATCTAGTGTCTCTGCATAGCTGGCTCCTGAATTTACCCTGCGTTGTGGTCTTCAGGCATCACTTCCCAGTAGATACTTTGTCCTTATCTCAAACTCAGGAACTGAAGCAAACTTTCCTTCTTCAAAGTGTCTGTAATTTCATGTGGCCTTGCATCTGGGAATCTGAGCCAAAAGGAAGGAAAAAATCCCAGCGTTTTGATGTTGTAATAAAGGTAGATATGCATATTTATGATCTTGCTACCTTTCATAGGGAGCTGAATTCTCAGTTAATTGTATTATCTTATTTTTAAAATTTTAACATTTTTATCTTTTAATTAGTTTGCCAGGTATCAGATTTCCTTAAGGCTTTTTTGTACAGTGTTGGTTTTGGCCGACTCTCCCTCCTCCTGTTCCTCTCCCTAATCATTTTATTTTCTCCAAACTACAGCTGTGTTTGTGTGAGAGAAGACCCAGTGTTCCAATAGCTTACTGGGAATTTCTGGTTATATAAGTTGAAAATCACACTTACTAAGTTTATGGACATGGTCACAAAATAACTTCATTGAACTATGAGTGTAAACTTCATTTTGAAAACATTTTAATATAATTTTAAAAGATAATTTTTTCAAACTTACAAGAGCAATGCAGAACATACAGTATTCAAAATAGCTTAGTGTAAATCAGTGGTTCCCAACCTTCCCAATGCTGTGGCCCTTTTATATACTTCCTCATATTGTGGTGACCCCCAAGCTTAAAATTATTTCATTGTTACTTAATAACTGTAATTTTGCTACTGTTATGAATTATAATGAAACTTTATATTATACAGGATATCTGATATGTGACTCCCCCAAAGGGTTCTCAGCCCACAGATTAAGAACCACTGGTACAAATGAAGGCCCAAATGGTAGACATCTACTCGTTCATCCTGTTAGACTTCCAACTGGAAATCTGCCTTCATTTCTGTCATCTTTCAGGCATGAATCTGAGATGAGCTCTAAAAATGTTAAAATAAATAAATAAAAGTTCAAGCAATGAAGTCTAGCTTCTATGCTGTAGATCATATAGAAAGGTACAAGAGAAACAAACCTCTCCACAGAAAGGTAAAAACAGTTCAAGACTCAATTTGAAAGTAAAGTGCTAAGCTAGGGAGGTGGCTTAGTTGGTA